TTGTACTGTAACATTATAAAATCAAAATTTGTACAGGCAATCGAAATTCACTTAGAATTCAAAGATTGTGTTACAGCAGACAAAAGCTTATACTACTAAAGCATTAACTAGTTATACTACCAATCAAAATGCAGTAAGAAGCTAAATAAAAAAAATAAGTTCACTTATAAAAAAAGATACTTAGCCATTAGGCCTAGAAGCAAGTTAATACTATTTTTAAATCTAATAGGAAAGTCATACGGAGTACCACAAGGCTGTGGTCTTGGTGCTCTACTACACAATTGTAAATCAATGATTTGTCAAATCACAATGATAACCATGTTAAATGCTACATAGATGATAACAAGACCTTCATCAAGTTTACAGAAAGTGCACTTATCATAACTATGCTAAATGAGCAATTAGCGAGAGGCAGAAAAAAAGTTACTGAAGAGGCATTTCTGAAAAGCAGCCAAAAACCAGCAACATTTTCAAACCAGGACATTTTCTTAAAATATTTATCCTTACTGTATTGTTTTTGGCTGTATAAATTTTAATGACATTTAAAGAAACTAGAAATAAAATGTGTTTGATCTAAATCTTTAGAAAAATATTTAAAAGTATTTTTCATGTTATGATGAAAATCAATATTTTATTCATGAAATATAAAAATATTTTAATTTTACACTCAATATTTAAAGAAAAAAATTTAAAAAAGCGGTATGTGCAGATATAATGTATAGTGTCAAACAAATTGTGCATTTTTTTCAATTATGTAATTTTTCCAAAAAAAATCTTTTAAACAACTCTAAATTATGAAAAACACAAAATACCTGAAAATTTGAACTACAATCTAAAATCAACTAAATTTGCATCAGCATTTATGAGGTTTGTAATGGCTAATACAGATAAATTTACTTCTTATCAAAACATGTATATAACTATATACACTACCGCCCATAATTATTTGAATGATCGTTCTTTTCGATATAAGATATCAAGGTTTTATTTACTATTAAGAGAAAATTTGAAAACAAAATCTATTTGAATCATATGTTATCTTTCTATTTATTAGGGTAACAAAAAAATTATTATAAAGTCCTGTTAGATTAGTTTATAATTTACGTGTCTATTAACCACCCTTAGTGACTATAACCGCCATACATACTCTTGGCATTCAACTTAACAAATTATTCAATTTATCAAAGTCAATTTTATGACACTTAATCATAAGTTTTTTTCACATTTTTTATGCATCATTAGGGACTAGTTTTAGAAATTACTTTTAATTTCTACCAAAAAAATCTGATAGGAGAGAGATCTTGTGAATGGTGAGGCTAAAACATTCCTTTTGATACCAAGTTATAGATTTTTGAATAACAATTTATGAAAAAAAATTTTTTTTTTGACCACTGTTTTATCAAGAAATCCATATATCGAAAATTTGCTACTAAAAACGTCATAACTTTTTATAGAAATGTCCGATTTTTGTAATTTTTTTCAACTTTAAAATACGGTATTTGAGGGCTTTATAATGATATATAACATTCTAGTATTTGAATAATTTAAAAAAATCAGTCCACGTACCTAATAATAGTGTTATGACTTTTATAACGCACTTATAACTTTTATTATTCATTCTTTTCAACTTTTATAATTCATTCTTTGTTCAAACAACATAAGCAATTCCAAATTTTAATT